GGCCAACCAAGGGGCCAATTTGTATCCTTCTGCAACAGGGTATACTCCTGCTCTATGCCATACCTGTTTGCATACGCATTTCAGTATATTTGAAGGCCTAAAATGTGGAGTTGCATAGAGATTATTCATAAAATATTCAAATTCAGAATATCTATATGTACCATGGTTCCTCTGCAGCAACTTTAGGGTGGCTGAAGGTGTTGGCAGCATTATGCCTCTTATTGGTTGGAATGGGCTCTCCAGCTGGAGTGTAAGCATCACACATCACCTAATAAATAGATTTTTACCGGAAGTGAGTATACACCCAAAATTATGGAAGATAACTCTGAGAGAATGGCTTCTCTAATCATAAACTAGTTATATCTTCAAAGTTAAGACAAGCTTACAAGAATGTTTTTGCCTCTCCTGAATGGATCCCTGAAGATTGCTTGTGGACTTTGAGACAATACATCAAACAGAAAGGGGACGATAGTCATTAGTTTCTGTAGGAGTAATAAGGAAGCACTGATAGAACAGCATGAGGATGAGTATATGAACATTACTATAAGATGACTTCACTGTCTTCTCCAGGAGCTTGCCCTGTGCTTGACCCATCGTAGTTCCACTTGGGAAGTTTTGCAGGGTCAGTCACTGGGCTAGAAATAGTCTGTAAAGTCCAGATTTTAAAAAGAGGTAAGTTCAAGTGGCTTTTGGTAGTGGTTCACACAGTATTAATCATCCATAGAAGAGAAGGGAAGGGAAAAAAAAAAAAAAAAAGCGCATTTACCCTGGCTTTACTTCTGAGGTCCATGCCAGATCCACCGATCCTGTTTGTTCATATATAATCAAGGATCAATTTTTATGTGTCAACTCAGTTAACAGAGTAACCCCAGAACATGGTTTTAACAATCAGACGTGGTCTAGTACAATTTTATTAGCCTGATTGACTAAAAGAACCAATTGGACTAACAGGAGGATTTAGAAAATGCTGAATACGAGGATATCCTCGAATCAGAATAAAAACCTTACCCAAGGCTAACATATTCATCACAGTCTTGATGAACAGACCCAAAACAGAAACAAAAACAAAAACAAAAACAGAGAAGAGTCCTGTTGTCCCTAGTTTTGAGTATGTTCAGGAAATATGTTAAAAACAGATATTCCTGAGAAGAAAACTTACCATATGTACTCTGCGATCACCTTCTCGGTTGTATCAGAGAGGTTGAGGTTGACAAGATCTGAGAGCAGAGACATTATGAGTTGCTAAGAAGGAAGGGCTAATCAGTAAGATATGAGCAGAGGATGGAGGCTAATGGTCTTGATAGGCTATGGCCTCTCTCGCTTGGTATGAGGATCCTTTTATAGAATAGTCATAGGTGTGAAGACTGCATTCAGACACGCAACGCAAGATTCTGAAATGAATTGAACTTGGAAAACTAAAAGAATTTGGAATCAAATATTCACTTTCAGTTATTTATTTTTTAAAGAATAAAACAACAAAAAGAAATAAACAACTTGGTACCAAAAATGACGGACTAAAGGCTGCATCATGAATGGTAGGTAATGAATGAGAAGTGGGATTGGTTGATTTCATTTCATGATATGATATTATACAATACTTTGCTGAAAGCTAAGAAAGGTAAGAGATACTTTCAAGATGAAACTTTGGTGCTCTTTTCAAATTTCAACAACCTTTTCCATGTTCCCATCGTTAGGCAACTCAGTCCAAAATAAGGGTTATTTATTCTTGAATACTTAAAGGGTATATAATTTAAAATCTGTATTATAATAATAATAATAATAATAATAATAATAATAATAATAATAATAATAATAATAATAATGTTGATGTATTTTGGAACTTTAGATCTGGCAGTTTTTGTACGGTGTACGTTTCTAAAATGGATCATAATAATCAATAAAATAGGAGGGCACCGAAATAAAGGAGCTTCCAAGTAGAAAAGATGAGATTGGGTTCGTCCTCATAAATTCTGCCACCTTGCTCACATGAAACCCTAAAGCAGCATTGCTTATCTCAAGCTTTGATAGATCATATACGATGAATAATGAAGGTAAAAAAAAATACGATGAATAATAAACGAGTCAATTATGATCACCACAAAAAGAAAAAAAATCTATGTGTTTGTTCTCCACAAATATTCACATTTTTAAATATAAATTTATTTAAATAAAATTTCAATTAAAAATTAAACCATTTGAATAATTAAACAATCCTTAATACATCTAGAAATCAATAAAATTCAACCTGATTTTTATTTAAAAAAATTGCTAAATTAATAGTATATATTATTGTGTGCCTAAATCTTATTTTTTTTTAAAAAAAATAAAACTTCTCATCCTTGGAAAAAAATGATACCTTCTATTCAAATGTTGTTAGGTCTAGAGGGTAATCTTTCTAATTGTCAAAGTTCAAACTCTTGATGTTACTCAATAAGAATCAAATTCCTAATCACTTGACTCGATGCCATTAGTCGTATATCTTATTTAATGAAGTGAAATTATAATTTGTACCCGGAGAATCTTATGATGAAAGACCAACTTAAGAAATCATAAATAACAAATGGGAGGATAAAAAAAAAAATCTTCCAATACTAAAAATAAGACCTATTTTCTAGTATAAATTATACTGAAGAATGAGTCACATTTTAGGATAGAAGGAATATAGAGCTAAGGACTAAAATCTAAAATAAACTAAGCTTCAGTTTTTGGGGTCATAAAACATATGTAAAAAAATTTATAAAATTATACTACTTCCGATCCTAATTATAAGACCCCATTTATAATTTACAAACAGAGTCTTATAAATAGGACAGGAGGTAGTATATTTTAGCTAAATGCATTTGAGATGATAAGGGCCCCACTTGGATAAGAAGCCGCAGGCATTTAGGGGACCTATTACAAGCATAGATCCCTAACCATATATTTATTAAGTAATTAATTATCAATTAATATTAATGAAGAAGTAAATTTAAAGGAAAGAAAGGAATTAGGCATTAAAGTTTGGTGAATTAGGCAATGTAAAATTGGATTTGTGGAGTGAGTTAATGCAATTAAGATATGAAAATTAGGACACAACATATTTATAGCTTGCTTTTGCAAGTAATACTAATTTTGTGAATGGTGGCCCACCCACAACTTCATTATATTTCAATGTCATTACCCAATTGCACAATAATCCACCGTATCAGCATCATCAATATCCAAGATATTTTATTCCTTTTCTTATATTTAGTATTTTATTAATATATGTAATTATACTAAAGCCCATGCAATTTATACGAAGTCCAAGTATTATATAAATGCCTGCTCTTTAACATGTGAGTCCTCTTTTTATTTGGCGAGTTCTGGTTGGAGACCCAAGTTACCAAATTTAATTTAAATATTAAATTAAAAAATAATTCCAACTTTGGATGCTCTCATTTTTTGAATTATTAATTAATTGATTGAATATTTAAAGTATATAAGAAGGCCTTTCACTGTTCAGGGTATTTGTCAATTTTGCATAAAGCCAAACTTTTAAAACTTATCTTTCCTATTCCAATGATAGCATCCACCACGTATGTATTCTATGTTTTGTTTTGTTTTTTTTTTGAAAGCAGACTGTGCAACAATATCTGAAACCCCGAAACCAAACTTCTGAAATGTCATGTTTAAGTAACTATAGTGCTTTTCATATTATCAACTTTTCTTTCTGTCGCATTCTTTGGTTTTACAGAAAAACGGTTTTTTTTTTTTAAATATGTATAGGCAATCTAAACAATATCAGACACTAAATATGAACACATCTTCTAATAAATATTTAAATTTTAATTCATCACATTATGAGGGATTAACTATTTTCACTATACTTAATCCTGTTAGTAAAAAGGAGGTAAATAGGTTTGATAAAAGAAGTTGCAGATTGAAGGCGGAAAGCCTGAGCATTGGGTTTGTCGCTATTGCTGGCTCTCTATCGTGTTGTTGTCATTCATTATTTTTATAAAAATATAAAGTTGTTGTTATCAATTTGGAATTGAATATCTTTGATAACAATTACTATACCTCTAATCCTTAATATAAGATTCTGTTTGACTTTTAATTTGATCCTAAATATAAGACCCCAATCCACTTTGTCTCTTATATTTATGTATTTTTTTTAAAAAATAATTCTTCTAATAATGGTAGTTTTAGTCAATACACTTGATTACTAAGAATATTTTAAGAAAAACAACAATTATTTATTACAAATAACTAACTTAACTTATTTTCTTAATCTTCTTAAATTAGTCAACTAGCTCTTATAATTAGGATCGGAGGTAGTATTAAGTATATCTTTGATGTAGTAAAGACAAACTATTTATAAAAAATATTAATATTTTGAAATTTGGAATTAATTTTTTTAGTGCGAGTGAGTCTTAACTCTCAAAAGAGGGAAGAAAAATATAAAAGAGATTCAAACTCTCCTACTATAATAAAAGAAATATATGATAAGCATCTTTTCGGTGGACTGAAATCATGATCATAATTATAACAAGGTAACTTATTTATGGTTTGGCTTCTTAAGCTGCCCACCAGATCAACAAAGAAATCTGAAAAAACTGAATACGCCTAATTTTCCATTTTTACATGTCATAAAACTTTGCTATTAAGGTTGTTGGACCACAAACTTTGACATCCAGCCCCAATAAAACTAGGATTTGAATACTTTTCAAAATAGCAAAGAATAGCGGAAATCACACGAATTAAAGAACTAGACTTATCAAAAATACCTCTGATAACTTGCTTAAAACCTGACTGGTAAGAGTGATGCACAATGACCAGAAGATTAGTGGCTCGTTCAAAATTCCCTTCCTTGTATAGTAAGGTCATCCTTAGAGGCTGCAAAATCCTCTTGTGAAAAAAAAAAAAAAAAAGCCAACTATTTTCACAGAGAGAGAGAGAGAGAGAGAGGAGTGAAAATTATTGACCATATTATCCAGTCCGCCACTGAAATCAGAAGGAGCGAAAAAATGTGCAATTTATTTGCCATGCAATCATATTCATCCAACCCATTGTTGAAATGAAGATATTCATTCAAAGTTCAAACTTGGCAGCCAAGCTCACCTATAATATAAAATATGTAATATTCCGGTACAATACATTCATAAGTGAAACAGGGTCCATAGCCTTTCCAGAAAAGCTTTTCAGTGTTGCTCTATGAATTTTCTCACCTACTTTTAAGCTCCTCTAATATCTATCTCATCCATAAACGAATAAATGTAATACTGATGCATTTACTGTTTCACCAAACGATCAAAAATTGGACGTGTTTTGGTTTTCAAGTGATCCCAGATAAATTATTCAACAGTCTTCATGTCCATGGAACGGCTTAATATTGGTAATAGAAGTATCAATGTAGCCCTCAACGTTCCTCCTTTACAACTGGCATCATACGACCTGAGCCAATCACAACACCCAAATGAGATGATGATCTCGGCGGAATAATTTTCATGAAAGTATTATACAATGGCCACAACAATATGAATTGATTCTTAAGAAATTACACAGCAGGAAGCAACTGGGCTAAACGAGTTTTCTTAAATGACCTCTAGTAGACAGGGGAAAAGCATTAGCTGAAAATAGAAATTGAAACGTACATCAGACAAGGAAACACCTGTAGGAAATACCATGTACTGAAACCCATGAAGAAGCTAAGCACCTGCGGAAAAAGCACAAAAACAAGCTAACACGAGGTAAGTAAAAAATTACCATCATAAAGATCAAATTCTCTTTAGACCTATAAAATTCACCTTTCAGCATAGGATTTCATAGACACAATACTTCCTCAATGGATAAGATCTCCTTCTAGTCCACTTAGCTGCACCTTTCCTCATATTCTTGCATGTGTTCAATTTACCCAGACAGAAGTCATTGAATCAATGATAGATTCGAGGAAATATTAGTTGCAAAGGATCATCCCTAAAGTTGACCGCATAAAGCACCCAAACATAACACGCTGCATCGTTACACTTTATCAAAACTCGCAAGGAAATATTTCCATCTATAAAATAGATGCACAACCCCACTAATACTACGGGGAAATATCTAATTTCTAAAAGTTCCTAAAGTCCTCCCTATTCCAGGATGTTTCAAAAAAAATTGAAGAACTATCATAATAAAATATGCAGGTAAAGACTCATTATTATTATTATTATTTTTAAAACTACGATTTAAAGGACGTCTTCAGCAAATGTCAGTTTTCGTTATCTCTCATGCATAAAACAAGGGCGATGAAAAACTTTGAAAGCATCAAATATGAAGACACAACATGTAATGAATTGAGAGATTAAATTTGAACAAACTTCTAATACAATTCCGGAAACACATTATCTCCTCTGTTAGCAGATAAGCAATTAATAAGCAATTCGGTTGTGGCAGCATCAGCAGAAAATCCTTTATCTCTCATTATCTGAACGTATTTCTTAGACCTTGAAATCTCGTCTTTTTGCAGCAATGCTTGGACTAAGATATTATAAGTGTAACCGTTAGGTGCACATCCAGTCTCTTCCATACTCCTCACTAAGTCTTCAGCTTCATCTAGTAGTCCTTCTTCACAAAGACCTTTGATCATTATGTTGTATGTCCGACAAGTAACCTGCAACCCTTTAGTAAGCAAACAAGAAAAGAGAGCCCATGCATCATTCATTTTTCCAGAGTTGCACATTCCATCAAGCAAAATATTATAGATCACAATATCAAAATCCAAAGCCATCTTCTCCATTGCCCCAAACAAAGATACTACCTCAGAAGGAAAATGGCACTTGAATAGTCCATCCAAAATAATGGCACAAGTCTGGAGACTGGGAACTTGGCCATAGCTGTGCATACTAAAAAACAGTTCTTTTGCAGCTAGTGGTTTGCCCACTTGGCAAAATCCACCTATAAGAGAGGTCCAGGTTATAACATCCGGAATAAATCCTTTATTCACCATTTCATCCAAGAGATACATAGCCTTATTCAAGTTTTTAATCTTACACCATCCGTGGATCAAAGAGTTATAAGTTACAGTGTTTGGCAAACAGCCCCTATCAACCATCAACTTAAATACTTTCATGGCCTCCTTCAGTTGCTTTTGAATACAATATCCACCAATCAATGAATTATAGGTGACAACATTAGGCTCCTTCCCCATTTGAATCATGATACCAATAATGCTTTTAGTCTTCACAACCATTCCATCTTTGCAAAAAGCATCTATTAATATATTATAAGTTTGCAAATCTGGCATGACTCCCTTTTCCATCATTTCATTCAGTAAAGTCCTTGCCTCTTTCCATCTATCAGAATTACAAAGACCGTGAATTAAGCAAGAATAAGTGACAAGATTAGGACGAATACCTTTGCCAGTCATTTCTAAGAACAAATTTAAAGCCTCGTATACTGATCTATCCTTGCACAAACTATCCACAATTGTGCTGTAAACTACAACATTGAGTTTCCAATTTCTTTTTTCCATCTTCCTTAGATATCCAATGGCAGCAGATGTGTTTCCGGTCTTGCAGAGTCCATTTATTATTGCTCCATAGGTGTGAATGTCAGATTGATACCCGATCTTTTCCATATGGTCAACCAAACTTATAGCTTGAACAACATAGCCTTCTATACAGAGTCCATTCACGAGAGTGGTAAAAGTCACCACTGTGGGCTCCAGACCAACTTTGAACATAGTCCCCAAGACTGAGAATCCAAAAGCTGTCTGCTTCAGATAGCAAAGACAATTGATGATAATATCAAAAGTACAGACATTAGCTCTCATTCCTAAGAAATACAGATGTTTAACTAAGGAAATTGCTGTTGTGTAGTGCTTCATCCTCACAATCACTCCAATCAGTAGCGTAAAGTCCCTCTCAGGCGGCAGAGGCTTCATCCTAACCATTTCATGAAAGAAATCTAAGGCATCATCAACCTTTTTAAATTGACTGGACCTGCATTGATTTCTCATAGAATTCAAAAACTGAAGCCTATATTGTCTCTCACCCATTTCAACATCACCAACAGAGGTACATGTTGGAAAAGATGAAAAATAAGAGCTACCAACACATGGAAAGTGAAACGAATGACGCCATAGGAAACAAGGAGAGGGTCGGTAGTTAGCAACATAACTGATGTCTTGGAGAATGGGAAACCACAAAATATAAGCTAATTTTTGCAGCATTGCTTTCCTATGTTACATTGAGTTTCACCTCTTTTTCTTCCAAACATCACCACTTCATCTAGGTTCATAACTACAAATGCTAAATACAACAGGGAAAGTTGTCAGTGTTAGGTTGCAACACTTATCTTCTTGAGGCTGAGTCCATTGTTGTTGATGTCCACGTCATTTCATTTTCTCCGCTTAACTTTCTGTAGGGAAAGAAGGACACACTTAGTGATGTTAGAGAAACAATGTTTGACGAAAAGAAGTTAAAAGACACACGACAGATAGAGTGCTCAAAAACAAAATAATAAACTTTATAATGAACCATCAACTCAGCAAAATGTTGTACAGCGGAGCAGTGGTGATACTACTGTCTACTGACAAACTGTTTATCATTCTTAACTTGAGGATCATAATAACTCTAAAGATTTATCATTGAAGAATAATTATTGCATAATTTATTTATAATCAGATATCTATCTGACAAGTTATTATTGCTCACCCAGTTCTCATAGTGTCACAAATGTTCCTTTTCTGCTCTTACATCTACATAAGCCAAGAGGGGAGGAATGTTTTATGGTTCTTTTTAATGTCATAGCGGAATCCTTTGACAATATATTTTCCCATATAACATGAAGAAGAACTAATGGGCTAATGTGGAAGCTCAAAGCTGCCTCACCACTTCCAAATCCTAAGACTCTTAGTTCATAACAATTAGTTGGTTGCAGTATGTTACAATAAAGTTCGATTACTGTATAATTCTTGTAAAGAAGCTGATTTTGCAATATTATTCCAATGAAAATGATACATCTCAACTTTCTTCAAGTTCATTACACTTGGGAAAAGGAAAAAGGAATGCTAGCCACCAGCTTCACTTCTTGCTATTTAATCATGGCAGGATATCCTACGACAGATTAAAAGATAAGGCTATAATTAACATTACGCCAAAGTTAAGTGAATTTACACTCATGGAAGAAAGACACGGACAGATAGAGTTTTAAGAGAGAAGTAGGTTTTGAAATATTATTACAATCCAATTTGAAAACGCATTTCGATGGCCCGTCATGGGGATGGAATGACCAAGAAAGAATGTTTTTCCTGGTTTGTTTTGGGATATGAATATTTGAAAGTATTCCCGTAAATCAATGCGTCCCAATAAATTTAAGAAAGAAAGAAAAAACAAACGGCTAAGTTTTCTTCCACCTCTCTATCTGGACATGAATCAATTCAACGATTATCAGAAAATCAAAAGTAGTGCGTAAACGGTAATCCCGAACAGAACGACACCAGAAAACAAATACGCGTGCAAACCTGTAAAAATCTAGTCAAACATAGAGGTCGCCGATCAAATTCAAAGGAGGAGCAAACTTAATTGAATCCGCAACTATCGCAAGCAGGACGTCAGAAATCAAGGTGCCCAGAAACTTTATAAATCGAATGCTCCAATTGGACGTATAGCAGATACCGCGCCAGAACGAAAAGCGAAGGCAAGTAAGGACAGCAAAAATGGATTTCCTGTGCAGTACAGAAGAAGAAAAAGAAGGAAGAAGAGTGTCGTGAAGCTCTCGCTGCTAATGGAGCAGGTATTATTGCCGGAGTATTTCCTGCTCTATGCCCGGCACCGTCGGGATTTTGAAGGGAATGGACCAACACAAAAGAGGACGAATTAGACTTTGTTAGTTCCAGCTAGAGGCACTTGTCTTTGTTACTTGCTCCTCATTTTTTTTGGTTACAAGGGGCGGGATCGTATCCGCAACGCACACCCACACACACCACCCGACCAAACGGCCAGTGGTATTGGGTTTTAAGTTTTGATTTCTTAAAAGTAAATGACAAAACAAAGTTTATATTAACCTCAAATAAAAATTATAATAAATTATTATTATTTCCAATTGTCTGACTCATTAATTAAAGGTCTAATTTTTATGTAACAAAGAACTGATTTATTGAAGATCTATAAATATTTGAATATGATTTGCTTCATCAAATGATAATTTTTTTTTTACTAAATATAAAATGATAATTTACTGTTATAAATACTCGTTGAGTCACAAGTTTAACTAGAAATAATTATAAGAGTATGATGAATCATAAAACTTGCAACATAACATCAATAAAATTTTCAAGGATTGTATTTGTATGTAAAGGAATGCTTAAAAAAATGAATTACCTGGTCAATAAAAATTTGATAGTTTCATGTTATAGAACATCAACTACTGCAAAAATTAATTGAAAGGATCATGAAACGATAAATATAATACAAGTTCATTGATTTTTTTTTTTGTTGGTAAATGTGAGATTGTGGGTTTAGCTTTTTTATAGTAATTCTTTGTAAGGTGAAAAGTCAAGAAAAAAAATATGAATATATATACAGAAACAAATTTTAAAATGTGGCTGTGTAAACAATCTAGATTTGCAATAAATAGGATCCTAAAATAATTAATGTGTCACAGTGTATGCTAACCTACATATTTGATTGTGAGAAAATCCCACCATCGATTCACTCATCATTCATAATTGTGTATTAATAATGAATTTTGAAATGCATGACTCAATATAATTGATTCATAATGAAATGATGTATACAGTGAATGATTGATTTATAATATATTCCTCCAATTCTTAATATAAGACCCAATTCTTGAGTTAGTTTTGGTTCTAAATATAAGACTCATTTCTCATATTTATCAGTTTTCTCTAAATTATCTCTATGATACTCTCTTAACCATAATCAAGTAGAAGAGGAAGAAATGGTACTCCTCCGGTCCTTAATATAAGACCCATTTAACTAATTTGATTAGATTAAGGAAGTTAGGTAAGTTAGTTAATTATAAGAAATGTGACACGTTTTTCCTAAAATACCATAATCATCTTTTTTTAATACCTCATTTTTCTCTTCTACTTGATTATGGTTGAAAGAGTATCCATAGGGGTAATTTAGAGAAAATTGATAAATATGAGAAATAGGTCTTATATTTAGGACCAAAACCAACTCACCAATTGGGTCCTATATTAAGGACCGGAGGAGTATTAAGAAAGATGATTATGGTGTTTTAGAAAAACATGTGTCACTTTTCTTATAATTAACTAATTTACTTAACTTTCTTAATCTAATTAAATTAGTTAAATAGGTCTTATATTAAGGATTGGAGAAATATTGTTTATATGTATAAGGTGAAAGAGAAAACTATATAAATTGCATGCACATACATGCATGAATCTAGATTTGCTAATAAAGATGTGACAATGTATCTTAATCTTTACATTCATACGACTTTGAAATGCTTGCACAATCTTGCAATAAATTAATAAAAAAAGTATCAGATGTCATAATCTTAAGTCTATAATCAAAATAAAAAATGCCGGCAAAAAAATCAAAACAATAAAAAACTTATTCCGATTCAACCTACGAAAATAAAAAATGCAATCAAAACATAACATGATATCTAATTTCTTTTCAGGATGAAGTATCACCCATGTCCAAGATAGGTAGCTCTTTATTACTCCCTCCGTTCCTTATTATAAGAGACAAATAACCAAATTACGTTGATAAAAAAAACAGTTAAAATTAGTTGAGGACAATTAATATGTAAAAAGTATTATGTTTTTTCCAACAATACCCCCATTAATAGGAGAGAGAGTATGAAAGAGAACAATTAAATTATTAAAAAAAAGAGAAGTGAGAGGGAGAGAGAGTATGAGTTGGAGACAAAATAAATAGAGGTAAAATAGAAAATCAATACAAAAAAATAGAGACAACTTTTAAGTGTCTCTTATATATAGGAACATGTCATAAGCATCAAATGTCTCTTATAATAAGGAATGGAGGGAGTATTCTGTTTTGTTTTGATCATACAATTAAAGAAATAAATTAACCAAATAACTATGAGAAATTAAAATGAGATTTTTTTTCCCCATGCAAAATAGACAAGAAAATGAAGAAATTGTGTATTTGAAAAAAAAGGGCAGGGTTGAGTGATCACCACGCACGCGTTGACGGTCCGCCAGCAGGACCGCGAGGAGAGTGGGGACCACCCACACTTGCCTTTCGGCCCAAGTAGTTTCTCCTATATAAGCTTCTCGTCTCTGCCTCTCACCCTTGCGGCCTTGCTTCTCCCTTCCTCGGGTCGGTTTCTTAGACCCGAACTACTTTAATCCCGCGAAGTTGAACATTTCTCGTCCATCAACACCGACTCCAGAAAATCCGCCAGTACAGGCAACAATCAGGTATTATATAGTTTTGCTCTTGTGAATAATCTTAATAGCTTGATTGCATACGTGTTGTTTTCTACATCTCTCTTTCTTCTTGAATTTTGAATAAAAGAAGTTCACTTTCAAGTAAGTTTTGTCTGGAACTGATTGCAATTTGGTTGCCGATATCGTGTTAAATATGTTGGCTTCTGAAGATTTCATTTCGGCGAATTGTGAGGGAAAAATATGAATTTCTGAGAGCTGTTTTTCGTATAATTTACCTGGCTTTGTTTATGGCACGATTATCGAATTGTTATGAAATCGATCAGGTTATTTCAAATAATCATGATTTTCTTTGTGAGTTTTGTTATCTACTTTTCGAGGCTAGTCTATTTATGTCGGTTAGATGTTTATCTCTGAATTCAGTAATGCATTTTCAATCCATAATTCTTTATTAAATGTTGATTTGCAGTTGGAATAAAATCGGGTGTAACTTCTACTATTTTGGGGTTTGGTCTGTGATTCAAGTCTTAGTTCAGTGTTGGCTGAGACGAGCTTTGTGTGTGTAACATCACATACAATGAGCTTGCACGTCCGCCAAGAAAGAAGGGATCGGTCCAAGATTCCTGCCCAAGGTTCTCGTCAGGAATGGGTTCCTAGAGCATCTGCAGCCGCTGCCACGTTGAATTCGATACCATCAAATTATCCATTGGATCAAAATGGTATTGCTGGTTGCTCAAATAATAATGTTGCTCCACCAGCAAATCAGCACAGAAGCAATCATGGGTCAAGTGGTCACATAAATCGGCCTATTAATCATAGAAGGGAGAGGGAAAAGGGAAGGAATGACAATCAACTGGTACACGGAGTGAGGGACTCTAATTTGCCTCAACTGTTGCAAGAGATCCAGGATAAGCTTATGAAAAGTACTGTAGAATGCATGATTTGCTACGACATGGTCCGTAGATCTGCACCCATCTGGTCTTGCCCAAGCTGCTACTCAATCTTTCACCTGAATTGTATAAAGAAGTGGGCTCGAGCACCTACTTCTGTTGATGTCTCTGCAGAAAAGAATCAAGGGTTTAATTGGCGGTGTCCTGGTTGTCAATCTGTACAGCTGACGTCATCAAGGGAGATTAGGTATGTATGCTTTTGTGGAAAGAGGCCCGACCCACCATCTGATCCGTATCTCACACCACATTCTTGTGGAGAACCATGTGGGAAGCCTCTTGAAAGGGAGGTGTTGGTTAATGGAGGGAGAGGGAGCAAGGAAGATCTTTGCCCTCATGTTTGTGTTCTGCAATGCCATCCAGGTCCATGCCCTCCATGTAAAGCATTTGCACCACCGCGTTTGTGTCCTTGTGGGAAGAAAACTATTACCACACGGTGCTCTGATCGCTCCTCTGTTCTTACCTGTGGTCAACGTTGTGATAAGCTTCTTGAGTGTGGGCGTCATAGGTGTAAACACATTTGCCATGTGGGTCCTTGTGACCCGTGTCAAGTTCTAATCAACGCCTCTTGTTTCTGCAACGGGAAGGCAGAGGTTATTCTTTGTGGGGACATGGCCGTGAAGGGTGAAATTAAAGTTGAAGGTGGTGTATTTTCTTGTGGTTCTAATTGTGGGAAGAAGCTTAGTTGTGGTAATCATGTCTGCAATGAGATTTGTCATCCAGGCAGCTGTGGGGAGTGTGAATTCTTACCAAGCCAGATTAAGACATGCTGTTGTGGGAAAACAAAACTGGAGGAGGAACGACAGAGCTGTCTAGATCCAATACCAACCTGTTCACAATTATGTGACAAGCCTCTTCCTTGTGGGTTGCATCATTGTAGAGAGGCATGTCATTTGGGGGATTGTCCACCATGTTTGGTTCTAGTATCCCAAAAGTGTCGGTGTTGTTCAACTTCTCGAACTGTGGAGTGCTACAAGGCAATGAAGGAGAATGAGTCGTTTACTTGTGAAAGATCTTGTGGGCGGAAAAAAAACTGTGGAAGGCATCGATGTAGTGAACGTTGTTGTCCACTTTCTAATCCAAATAATCGTCTAAATGGGGAGTGGGATCCTCACTTTTGTACCATGCCATGTGGAAAGAAGCTAAGGTGCGGGCAACATGCATGTGAATCACTGTGTCATAGTGGCCATTGTCCACCTTGTCTTGAAACTATCTTCACTGATTTGACATGTGCTTGTGGTAGGACCTCAATCCCTCCTCCATTGCCTTGTGGTACACCCCCTCCCTCGTGTCAACTTCCATGTTCAGTTCCTCAACCTTGTGGCCATTCAGCCTCCCACAGCTGCCACTTTGGAGATTGCCCACCTTGTTCGGTGCCTGTGGCAAAAGAATGTATTGGTGGGCATGTGGTTCTTAGGAATATACCTTGTGGGTCAAAGGATATTAGATGTAATAAACTGTGTGGGAAGACCAGACGGTGTGGGTTACATGCTTGTGGCAGAACATGTCACCCTCCACCTTGTGATGGTCCATCTGGTTGTGACCAAGGTCTCCGAGCTTCTTGTGGTCAAACATGTGGTGCTCCAAGGAGAGACTGCAGGCATACATGTACAGCTGCGTGTCACCCTTCGGCACCATGCCCTGATATAAGATGTGAGTTTTCTGTTACAATTACTTGTTCTTGTGGCCGTATAACGGCAAATGTTCCTTGTGGTGCTGGTAGTGGTAGTGGTAATTATAATGTGGATTCCATACATGAAGCTTCCATAATTCAAAAGTTGCCTGTTCCACTTCAACCAGTGGAAAACAGCAAATTGATTCCCCTTGGACAAAGAAAGCTGGCATGTGATGATGAATGTGCTAAGTTGGAGCGTAAAAAGGTTCTTGCTGATGCTTTTGATGTCACCCCTCCAAACTTGGATTCTCTTCATTTTGGTGAGAACTCCACTACTGCTGAATTGCTCTCAGACATGCTCAGGCGTGATCCTAAGTGGGTTTTGTCTGTGGAGGAGAGATGCAAATTTTTAGTTCTTGGCAAGAGCAGAGGAGTAACCCATGGTTTGAAAGTCCATGTTTTCTGTCCTATGCTGAAGGATAAGAGAGATGCAGTGAGGGTTATTGCTGATAGATGGAAGTTGGCGGTGAGTGCTGCTGGTTGGGAGCCAAAGCGATTTGTCATAATTCATGTGACCCAGAAGTCAAAGGCTCCTCCCCGGGTGCTTGGGGTTAAGGGTACTACAACGGTAAATGCAACTTTCCCTCCACAATTCGATCCCTTAGTAGACATGGATCCCCGTCTTGTTGTCTCCTTTCCGGACTTACCAAGAGAAGCCGATATAAGTGCTTTAGTCTTGAGGTTTGGCGGTGAATGTGAACTTGTTTGGTTGAATGATAAAAATGCATTGGCTGTTTTCCATGATCCTAGCCGAGCTGCGACTGCAATGAGGAGGTTGGATCATGCAACAACTTATCATGGCGCTGTGGTGGTTGTACCAACTGCTGGGGCATCAGCAACATCGGCAGCAACTAATGCATGGGGAGGAGCTGGAACGCTGAAAGAAGGAGGAGCGCTGGCAGCATTGAAGGGGAATTCATGGAAAAAGGCTGTGGTTCAAGAGCCTGGCTGGAGAGAAGATTCTTGGGGTGATGAAGAGTGGACTACTGGTTCTGCTAATCTCCAGCCTTCTGCCTGGACGAGAGAAACACCTAAAGCCCCAATCACTGCTTCATTGAATCGGTGGAGTGTCTTAGACCAAGAATCATCTTCGAATTCAGCTGCTGAGTCCATTAGAACTGAAGTTTCTCGGAAACAATCAGCAAGTTCATCTTCTGGCCCAAAGCTGGAATCTGAATCCGGTGGTTCTGTTCCACGACAGCATCAAGGAAATGATAATGCAACAGAAGTTTCTGAAGTAGTAGATGATTGGGAGAAAGCTTATGAATGATAAAAGGGATCACATTCAGCAAACGCTTTTTTTCTTTTTTTGAGATGTCATTTTGTTGAAAAGAAATGGACAAGATTGCTTGACCTCTGGGCCTGGCTTATAAATTTTGGCCTGTTCAGGCAATTCCCCCATTTCCGGTCAATGTCCTCTCTCTGCGCCCCCCCCCCCCCCCCAAATTTTTTTTCTCTCTTTCGATTCCAACTCCTTATATACATCATTGAAGTGATAGTATCATCCCCGGCCAGAATTTGGTGTTCGCTTACTCTTAACGTAATCGATTTGCCCGAAAAATATTTGACCAGTCATATTATATTAGTTATGCTTCAGCACGCATTTGAAGCGTATCTATTTTAATGTATAGGATCTTAAAACGTCGCTTTCAGCTTGACATTACCGGCAAATTGAAAGATAATTTTTACTATTCAATAAATGAGCTCTTCAGGCGAATATGGGGCAGGTGATGTCGCGTCATTAACCTCCTGTTTTCTTTATTGATTTATGTTTCCTTACTTACCTGTGCATATCCCTTGATTGTTTTTCTCTCTATCGCGTCTTCTGGCTTGCACCTTGATCAAAATCACGTACATAACAAACAGTGCCTGTAAATGGAAATAAATAAAAGGGGAAGTTTATAACTTCAAGAAATCGTATGATTTGTTCTGAATTAGTGATTGGCTTAGACGGTAAAAGAAAATATGAGTTTTCTCGTTGGCTTAGATTTGCTTCTCGCAGAGTATTATGGAAGTAAGATTATGGTCATTTAAGAGACTTCCTTCATTCTACAATCTTTAGAAATGAAAAAAAAAAAAAATCAAAAGGATTTAGTCCCGACAATTTATATCTACTCTTAAAGCAAATGATCTGATTTGTTTTCGCTTAATTACTATTCATAAAACCTCGAGAGGTACAATAAAGAAGTTTCCATAAGATGCTCTGATGGCAGCATATGCAGCAATCAGACCACATGTGCGCTTGTTCACACTAGTGACCATTCCCTGACGGAAATCCATGTGACGCTTATTGTGGCTATCAATTTCCCTTTTCAATCATTTTGGTTCATAATTTACTAGTCAATTTTATCTTTATTATAATGCATAAAATATTATGTGCATCAAAATAAAAAATAAAAAAAATTAAAATATTATCCCTCACCTCCCCTGTTTCCCTCTCTCTGTCTGCATGAGATATTCTGTTGTCATTGTCACTTCGGCATGCCTAGGCTGCTACGATGCCACCTAACATGAAATAATATAAAAATATATATATTTTGAAGGAAAGAGTGGCTTGGCTCAGATTGTGTGCTGAGACAAGCCAAGTCACGGGATCAACAAGTGAATATCACTATGTGAGATATCTCTGTTTTTCAATGACTTTGGATATTGGGTTTGTAGGGGCCTTTTAAGCTTGGTTTACTCCGTATTCTCCTCTCAAAAGCATTGATTGAATCGCTCGTCATAAATATTTCTGCCCATTTGCTCGTCTTGTAACTTCTTTTCATAATCAAGTTCAAGCGTATGGTCTGCTTTATCACTTCGTGTTTATGATTATGGATTCTCGGCTGCATCCTGATGCATATTTTGATGAGGTTAAGGTAAAAACTCTTTCTTTGATCTTATGTGCCATCTAAAAAGATAACCAATTGCTTGAATAGAGCTTTTTGGGTGGATTTTACCTCGTGTTTATTGTTCAAGATTAGTTGAACTTTGTTCCTGTGATAGCTGCTGGAGAAAGATTGAAGAAAATACAATACGCCAGACATATACTTCGTTTTCAACCTTATGACTTATAAATCTCTGGCCCTTTGGCATTCAAGGTTGCACTCTCAAAATGTGTTAGGATTTTTGGAGATTCTGGAAATAGAGATGGTTTAGTTTTTGTAGGATCAAAAGTAGTAAAACTTCTGTACGTTCAGCTTTTGTCTCCGTGACCCCAGTCAATCCAAGATTGATGAAAAAAAGTCATCTTGGCTTTGAGATGGACCGCTATTATAAAGTGTTTTTTTTTTAGCCTTTTCTTGTCCTAAGTTATTTTATAATAGCTAATGATTTTTGGCCTTGAAGACTTGCGGCTTGATGGCTATTGTGCTCTGCACTAAAATGCAAGTTGCTAGTTCGAATAGGCAGAAACCGAAAAAGCTAATGACTTTTGAAGAAGCAATCAGGGATGTGATCCTTCTGATGATAAAATGTTCCTGTCTGAAAGATCTTATGCAGTGTTTTTTTCCCCTATCCATTTCTCTAAATACACATCGTGCATTTACTTGATTGATAAATAAAGGAAATCCGACCCCATTCCTATCTTCTTACTTTGGTAGAGTATTGTACATCTGAAAGTCAAAGGCTCCTAGCCTTTGGGTGTCTTATTCTGCGCAGGTAAACAATAGACTCGAATAAAAACAGCTCTCTCTCTCTCTGTTTTTTTTTTTTTTTTGGTGATCTTAAGATCACATAACTCTATCATTCAACAAAGTTTAGTAGGTAATATCGACTTTCCCAGATATAAGTAAACAAGATCTAAGTTTTGAAGTTACGTTATGCTTTCTGTTTTGAACCGCCAGCATTGGAGGGATCTTAGATTTGCCTACTTCGAATCAATAAGGAAATACATGTTGCTTTTGCAAATTCTATGATCTTGACTAATTGATCAGAGAGAGGTAATGCTGTTACCAATAGGTGAATTCATAGATTTTAAAATGAACGAAGGAAAATCAAAGGATTCTTAGTTACAGTGTTAACACCATGAAAGCCACAGTATATTGATCCATGGGCCACTTGTGCTTGGGGATGAATTTATGCATTCACATTTTCTTTATATGCACAACCATCACAAAGAGCAAGGTCTCTGGTGAAGATATAGTTAATGCAGTTCCACTGATAAGTGATCAGCAGTTCTTGTCATGGTGCATAATTTCCCCAATATATTCAGCACCAAATTATTCTATGCATGCTGTGTTAAAAAAAAGAAAGATAAAATTGTGGAACTTCAGGGGCGGAGTTATATTTTTGTCAAGCACACCTGGTTTAGAGCACTAAATCTCATTTGATATGAAGGGAGTCTTAGACTTTCTTGTTCAACCCAGTCAAGCATTTAACAGCATAATTCTGTTTCAAAGAAATCTTCTATATCAGTGTGCATTGAACAGTAAGTTGTCTGCGTATAAGTATTCAGCAAAACAGGATTGACTCCATGGTTTGTCAATATTTACAATCTCGTGTTGCTTTAATGTTTTATTCTATCTGTGTTAAAGATGCCAAAACTACATTTGAATTATGCAAGTTCTTTTTCTACTTGTCATAACCAATACCGTTTCAATTTTCTTCAGAAGAAAACATGGAAGCAAACTATTCTCCTGTCTTCTCAAATCGTTGGAGTAGTTTATGGTCAAATAAGCACTGCACCCTTGTATGTTTTTGGGACTATGCATCCCGGGGATGTGGATTCAAAGGATGTTGTTTACGAACTCTTTTCATTCATATTCTGGACTCTAACTGTCATTTCCTTACTGAAGTATGCCTTCATAATGCTGAAAGTTGATAATGATGGGGAAGGTAACTGATTATCTCCATAAACCATACAAATTTTGACAGAATAGAGCCTTCAAAATTTGACTTCTCATGGCAAAACTTTTTTAGGTGGCACTTTTGCGCTATACTCACTCTTGTGTAGACACGCAAAAGTTGGCCTGCTCCCGAGTGATAGAAGCACTGATGAGGTTATGCATTATGAGAAGAGTCCCTCTAACAGGAAGACGGATTCAAGGGCTCGAAGGGCCATTGAGAAGCACAAAAGCTGTCACTATTTGCTATTATCATTGGCTCTCTTTGGATCTTGTATGACTATCGGTGATGGGGTGCTCACTCCAGCACTTTCTGGTACACAAGCCTTATTCGCACTTTAATTTGCTAGAAGTAATTACTTGATTCAAGAGTTTTCTGATTTTTCTTGGGTAATCAAGTTATTTGGCTTCAATAACTTGGTTTATTTTTGGCTTCTTACCAGCCTTATCAGCTTCAAAGGGTGTTGAATGGTCCTTGGCAGATTTGTCGTGCTTATGTAAGAGCTAGGACCGAGGCTAGAAATTAAATCTAAATTTTTGTAGGCTTTATCATTCAATTGCTGGAATTAATTTTTTTTTAACCTTGTTGTCTATGACCAGTTTCCTCTTCACATCATTCTCAGCATTCAGTGCCAGAGGGTATTAAAAAATGTGAGTTCTTTCCATGTTCGTAGATATCTCAATTGGAATAATGTGCAGTTTCTTAAGCATATATTAACAATATATGTATCTGATTGACCATGCTTTCAGAACATGCTAATGACCCGTTTGCATTTAGCACATTTTGGCTTTATTAACCAGCCCTCATTACGTCATTTGTTCCAAGTTCTCACATATTATAGGATTTCCAAATATCCCAACCAAGCTTGATAACTTATTAACCAGCCCTTATTACATCATTTGTTCCAAGTTCTCACATATTATAGGATTTCCAAATTCTTTCAAATATCCCAACCAAGCTTGATAACTTCAGGGACGTCCCATGGGGTGAGAAAGCCATATATATTTTAACTCAATATTTGTCATACCTGATATCTTGTTCAACTTCTGCTCGACTCACTGCAGATGTACCTGTTCCCTCTGCATGTGTCATATTGGTTGGCCTTTTCGTGATGCAGCCTTGTGGAACGCGCAAAATTGGGTTCATGTTTGCTCCAATAATTTTTGTTTGGCTCTTATTTGTTGCTGGAGTAGGGGTGTATAATATTTTCCAATGGGATGTGGAAATCATCTATAAGATATCCCCACTATACATGTTAAGATTCATCAGAAATATTGATCGTCCCAGATGGAGGTTGCTAGGGAGCGTGATTTTATGTGTAGCAGGTTGATGTCTTCTCCATAGAATTGTGAAAACATAACTCATGGATTAAAATATAGAACTATACAGTGATTTGAATTTCTGTCAAATTACAATAACTTCCATCGCTATATGATAAGTTCCTTGATCTGCTTGTCTGCAGGATCAGAGGCTATGTTTGCTGATCTAGGTCATTTCTCAAAGAAATCAATTAAGGTTCTATCTACAATCTCTTTTCTGTAATCTTCATGCTAAGAGTGACTGAAATTATTGTAACTTAGACATGGTGCCTCTGCTGCAGATAACATTTATTTGCTTGATCTACCCACTTCTTGTTTTAAGCTATGCGGGTCAGGCTGCATATATCTCCAAGAACTTGGGAACTGAAGACTTCATTCATCTTAGTGGATCTATGCCCGGTAAGCTGGTAAAGTGCTTTAATTTCAAGACATTTGTTTGTTTATCCAATTAAATATTAGTGCAGCTAAAAATATTGCTTGGTGGTTTCAGGACACTGCAATCATATCTTCACAATACTATCCCTATTTGCTTCAGCTGTTGGAAGCCAAGCAACGATAACAGCCACTTTTTCCATAATTAACCAGTGCCTGGCTCTAAATTGCTTCCCCAGAGTAAAAGTTATTCACACATCAAAGAAGATACTTGGACAGATTTACATCCCAGATATAAACTGGATATTGATGATTCTCAGTCTCACTGTCACTATTGGTTTCCGAGACCTGGTGAAAATTGGTAATGCGACAGGTACGCTATTTTATTCCCATCTTATGCTTCTCCTGGAAAATTCTTGACTTTTATTAGTGATGGAAAAGTAACCTTCCCTCTCACATATCCCCGTATGCAATCATTCTTGTGTTTGATTATCAAACTTGAGTCGGTTATTCCCGATGAAAAAAAGGAAGCTCTTGAAATAATAAAAGTAAACTGTTATATCAGTTCTTGTGACCAAAGCTGAGTCTAGAAAACTTTCTGATGAGAAGGTTAATGACCTTGTCTTGATACTTGTTAAATATCTCTCTTTGACAGCTTTGGCTATAATTAGTGGAATGCTGGTAACAACCAGTCTGATGTCACTCATCATTGCTCTGTATTGGGAGAAGAATTTGATCATCTCTGCATGCTTTCTTATTTGTTTTGGCTCCCTTGAAGCTGCATATCTTTCAGCATGTCTGCTACAATTTCACAGGGGAGCATGGTATCTATTTGTTCTCTTGGTGGTGACCATGACAATTATGATTGCGTGGCATTATGGAACTATGAAGAAGTATGAGTTTGATATAGAGAACAAGGTGTCCACTGAATGGCTCATAGATGTTAGTCCAAACCTCAGCATTTCCAGAGTACCAGGAATTGGCTTCATTTACACTGACATCTTAGCAGGAATCCCTGCTTTCTTTTCACATTTCATCACTAATCTTCCTGCATTTCATCAAATTCTGATATTGGTGTCCTTTAAGTCTCTACCTGTGCCTTATGTCCCAGAAAGTGAAAGGTATCTCATAGGCAGGATTGGTCCAAAAGATTACAAAATTTACCGATGCATTGTCAGATATGGATACTGTGATCATGTTAGGGACACGGATGATTTTGAAGAGCAGATAATACGTTCTATTGGGGAGTTCATTAATGTTGAACAGAGTGATATTGAATCCATGGATTCCCCACATAGAAGGATGATCATCATTGGAAATTCATCATCATCACAGGGAAATGCTTTAGTTCCTCTAGAGGATCTTGAATCAACCGAGGGACCAAGCCTAGCAAGCAGCGAATCTCAGATAAGTCCAGTTGCTAGTCCTCCTCCTTCTGCTAGGAGAAAAAAGGTCAGATTCATGTTGCCTGCAAACAGTCCTAAAATGCAGGCATCAGTGAGGAAGGAGCTCTTAGAGCTAATCGATGCTCGGGAAAGTGGTAGTGCCTATTTCCTGGGACAATCTCATTTAGTGGTTCGTGATGGCTCCAACATTCTGAAGAGATTCCTAATCATGACATACCGTTTGAGCGAAAAGAATTGTCGTGAGCCTCCAGTGGCACTGAAGATTCCTCATGCTGCTCTTGTAGAAGTTGGTATGGTCTGTACTATATAAGCTGAAGAAGTGAATTCAGTTTTACTCATCATACACACATACAAGGGGAAGATGAAGGTTGAGAAAATAAAAGGGAATGGATATAGGTAACAAAAGAAACGTATTGATATTATATGTGAAAGATGAAAAATCATATTACGTGCTCTTAGTTGCATGGATAATCATAGAAAGAATTTTAGAGTCCTTTATAGATCCCCACCTTATATGTAAGTTGAACTGATACGGTTACCTTTCTGTCCATATCTTCCCTGATCTTTTCCTTCTATGCTTTCTAGCAGTTACATAAAAAATCTGCTTACTCAACACATATTTCCTAGTTTTGATTTGTGAGACTTTGCAGTTTGAACCTTTAAAGGAAAACTTTTTATGAAGCTTTGCCGTTTGAAATCAACTAAGCCTTTCAAAAGCGTGTCTTAGTTTTGTTAAGATTTACAGAAATAGCGGAAGTTTTGTTTTAGTTGCTTGTTATGGTTAATAAGCCATAATAAGCACAGTCCACTCTCAAGTTGTAACCAACCTTAAATACATCTATTAATGATATCAGAAAGAATTAGTTAGTCGGATTCATTTTAGTCGGATTCATTTTAATTGTTCTTAATGTTTGGGCTGAGATGCCTGAGCATAAGATTTGTACTAGAGAACAACTATATCTGCAGAAACTGTGCATTAATGATTCCTTTTAGTACCAGCCTTTCAATATGTTTTGGCACTAAAAAACTAGTAAAGTTATAACAAAATAAAAATGATTTAGAGTAAAATTAATTGAGGAGACAAGTGCTACCGCTATGATATATCTGCATAGACCAACACAAACACAATAATGGGGTGCCATGTGGGGCAAGCTTATTATTATTGAATTGAAGAAGACTTTATATATTTATAGGACTGTAGATCCACAGTGTTGTACTATATATGGATGAAGCTGGAGCAGGGCCCTCAATTATGGTACTTTACTATTTAGTGGAGAGATAGTTCTCTTCATAAACAGTAACATCTGTGATGATTTGTAGTCTTGTTGTGCTTGTCCATATTTGCAACACATAAAAGGCTCAGCAACACTTTATACAAACACGTTCGTCTTTTGCCAATTTATATGATTGTAATATTTCCTATACTATTTCAATATAGAAGACATTACATGACACATGTCCTTCCTTCTGCTATAAAAATTGCAGGGAAATTATACAGAAATACACACAAAAATTAAGTTCCTTTTTGAAATAACACTGAGTTCCAAAAAGTTTACTTTCATGTAATGCAATTGCAGTACAAAAGAAAAGAATAAACCTCAAATTTTCAACTACATCAAAAGCAAAGGGGAAGATTTGGACAAAAGAATTCTGAAAACTAGACCCTGGTTAATTGGCTTAACAAAAAATGAATCAATTTATCAAATGAAGATTAATAAAGTGTTGTGATCATATATTCCACAAGAAAGCGTTCGAATATTCTTGGAATCCTAAATCTCTACCACAACAGCATTGTGCTAAAAATAGATAGTCACACAAGTAAAGTATACCTCACATTAACCAAATTGACTGGAGTTAGATTTATAGAAGAAATTAGTGCCTCACAACATGACAGCTCAAAATTTAAATATAAAAATATGCCACACATTTCGCTCCAAATATTACTCTGTTTCTGTTTATAAAGTTACTTGTGAGAAAAAAGTTTGTTCCTGTTATAAGACAATTAATGAGTTTTTTTTCAATTTTATCTTTGTTAACTTAATAAATGCATAAAGAGAGATAAAGCAAATAGATAAGAGAGAATATAAAACATAGTTTTAATACCCTTCCTTTAATAAGAACACGTGCCAAAAAAAATATTAATTTAATATATTTCTTAGTTTGTAGGCTTGGATCACAAGTGACTTATAAATATGAACAAAGTAATATATTTATGCCTTTACAACATCAAATTAGTACAAAGAAAATCTGCGGGTCAAAAAAAAAAAAGTACAAAGAAAATCAAGTCCGTGGATTCTTTTTAGATCTGAAGAGCTCAGTGCTAGGTTAATTTACAAGTATTTTTGCAAAAACTTTTCTGAGACACATGAGCTTCTTTAAAATTCAAAGAAAAAGGCGAGTCGCAATTTCCCAAAAAAAAAACATGTCTTTAGATTTATTTATGGTGGATATCTGTGGAGGTACTTTATGACCATGCCTCTGTAAAGGAAACAGAAAAGAACAAGCTTCTGATAAAAGAGAAAGCAAACAAAGCGAACAGTTGGAGTCTTGGCCCGTTCGGTTGGACACTTAAGATGAAGATTTATGAATGAAAGAATCAATGGCTCCACCAGTAACACCATATATGTTTGACAGTTGAAACCAGTTTTTAAGAGAAGTGAGAAGGAAGGGAAAAAGGGGGAATTTCATAAGAAGATAAATTTTGAGTTAAGAATGTGTTTCATTAGTAAGAAGAAAAATATTATATCATGATTCTTTTTCATTAGAAGTTTGGTGTAAAGCAGCGTAATCATAGATATACAGTTTCAATGTAAAATACAAAACTAATATTTATATAGAGAAATGACATTTAATTTAAATATATAAAAATAATACTAACTCCAGTCTTAAATATTATAGCTAGTCGGAGGTTTATTTATTTATTTCTCAAAATAAACTCTAGTGATTAGACATGTTAAAATATTTTTATTATAATTTACGTGATTAACAATAATATTTTATGAAAGATATTATTATTATTTATTATAAATAACTAAATCATTAATTTTTTAAATATTTATAAATTAATTATTTAGTTTTTATATTAAAAACAAGAGATAGATGAAGGGGAAATCACAAATAAAGACCCTTGAATTAGCAAAATCACTCTATGGTCACCTGAATATGCTAAATTACTATGAGGGACCTGGTCTCAAATTGTAATTATGAAATCATGGTCAAATTACCAAAATACCCCTCTTTAAATTTTTTTTTTTTAAAAAAAGAAAGCCACTCCTCACCGGAATCCGGCCACCGGCGCCGGAGCTCCGGCGGCCGCTTCCGGCCACTGTCGGCGGCCGGACGCTAGGGTCCGGCCGCCGGAGCTCCGGCGCCGGCGGCCGCTTCCGGCGGTCTTCCTTTGTTTTTTTTTTGAAACTTTTTTTTTTTTAATTGGGGGGAAGTGAGGTTGGGGGGATTTGATCCCCCAACCTAATGCTTCCAAAATAAGGAATGACCATGAGCCAACAAATTTTTGTTAACATTATGATGCAAAAAAAATATAAGTTAAATCATTTACTCTTGTTCCAGGTGAACAACAATACATTTGGAAAATAACAAGTTCTGATTGTAAAATAACACGTCTGGAATAAAAATTTAACAATATGTTTTTTTTATACAATAAATTTTGGTGCAGGAAATAACAACAATACATTTTAAAAATAACAAGTTCTGATTATACAATAACAAGTTTGGGATTAAAATTTAATAACACGTTTTTTTAAACAATACACTTTGTTTCAAGTGATAACAACAATACATTTGGAAATAACAAGTTCTGATTGTAAAATAACATGTCTGGAATAAAAATTTAACAATATGTTTTTTTATAACAATAAATTTTGTTGCAGGTAATAACAACAATACATTTAAAAATAACAAGTTCTGATTATACAATAACAAGTTTGGATTAAAAATTAATAACACGTTTTTTTTATAACAATACACTTTGTTTCAAGTGATAACAACAATACATTTAAAAATAACAAGTTCTGATTATAAGATAATAAGTCTAGGATTAAAATTTAACAACACGTTTTTTTATAACAATTAATTTATTATACTTTTAAAAAATAAATTATTTATAACTTATAAAAAATATTTTAATATATTTATTTCTCTAAAAAAAATCTTTTTAATCTGTATATCTATACAACTCATTAAATCAAACTACTTCTTATAAATTATAAAGTATTTATAATAAGGCATTTTTTATTTATTAATCATAGTATAAATTTAATCATTTCATTCTTTAAATATTAAAAATAGTTTTTATATTTAAGAATAAAATAGTATTTTTAATTATAAATTAGAGATAAATTTCATTTATAAATTTAAGCAGTCAAAAAGTATTTTTAATCCACAATAAATTGTACTTTTTATAATTTATAAGAAGTAGTTGATTTATAATAAGTGTATAGATAATAGATTAAAAAAATTTTTAAAAAAATTAAAAAAGTGTGTTGCCATTTTCCCTAAATTTTATTTAAAATTTGAACAATAAAAAAGTATTTTTAATCTATAAAAAAATTATACTTCAAGTTCTGATTATAAATTGGAGATAAAAATTATTTTTTTTAGCAAATTAAATAGATTACAAGTACTTTTTATAAGTTATAAATAATTTATTTTCCAAAAGTATAAAATAATTAATTGTTATAAAAAAAAGGTGCTGTTGAATTTTAATTCCAGACTTGTTATTTTATAATTAGAACTTGTTATTTCCAAATGTATGTTGTTATCACTTGAAACAAAGTGTGTGTTATAAAAAAATATGTTGTTAATTTTAATCCCAGACTTATTATTTTATAATCAGAACTTGTTATTTTTAAATGTATTGTTGTTATCACTTGAAATAAAGTGTGTTGTTATAAAAAAAAACGTGTTGTTAAATTTTAATCCCAAACTTGTTATTTTATAATCAGAACTTGTTATTTTTAAATGTATTGTTGTTATTGCCTGCAACAAAATTTATTGTTATAAAAAAAACATATTGTTAAATTTTATTCCAGACGTGTTATTTTACAATCAGAACTTGTTATTTCCAAATGTATTGTTGTTATCACCTGGAACAAGAGTAAATGAGTTAACTTATATTTTTTTTGCATCATAATGTTAACAAAAATTTGTTGGCTCAATGATTCCTTATTTTGGGAAGCATTAGGTTGGGGGATCAAATCCCCCCAACCTCACTTCCCCCCAATTAAAAAAAAAAAAACAGTTTAAAAAAAAAACAAAGGAAGACCGCCGGAAGCGGCCGCCGGCGCCGGAGCTCCGGCGGCCGGACTCCGGCGTCCTGCCGCCGACAGTGGCCGGAAGCGGCCGCCGGAGCTCCGGCGCCGGTGGCCGGATTCCGGTGAGGAGTGGCTTTCTTTTAAAAAAAAAAAAAAATTAAAGAGGGGTATTTTGGTAATTTGACCATGATTCATAATTACAATTTGAGACCAGGTCCTCATAGTAATTTAGCATATTCAGGTGATCATAGAGTGATTTTGCTAATTCAAGGGTCTTTATTTGTGATTTCCCCTAAGAGAATAGT